CAAAGCCCTGAACCCCAAGCCCGAACCCTGAACCGTAAGACTTTCTCTAGGTGGGACTGTGCTACAACTGTATCACTTTATAAGTCTTGGGGTTCCTCGTATTCATATTAAGGGAGCAAATGTTAAAGTTTTATTGGGGGGTTAAAGAGCAAACACGTTCTCATGGCAGAGGGGACGAGCCTCAGATGAATTCCATCCAAGCTTCAGAGTTTTGTCGGCTTGGCTCCCGCACATAATGGGCAAGCAGGGTGGTGCGGTCAGAGCTGGGGACCTCGCTTGAGGCTAGCGCATCGAGAGCCGAAACCCTACAAGCCCCAAGCCCTCAAAAGATCTAGGGTACGGGGTAGGGTCCTCAACGTCTTCTTTCATGTCCGTGTTTCATGCGCGGAAATATGACTCATTAGGGATGCCATAGTCAAGAGTCAAGAATTGCACTGCGCGAGATTCATCCCTATTCTGATTTAGGGCCCTGAACCCTGAACCCGAAACCATAAACTTAAACCTACACCCTAACCCTAAACCCGAATCCTCAACAGCAACCCAGTTCAGGGTTAGGAGCCGGGCCTAGTCTTTTAAGGCTTTAAGGCATGAAGCCTGGACGCGGGGAGGGTTTAGGGCTTAGGGTTTAGGGTTTAGGGGTTTAGGGGTTTAGGGGTTTAGGGTTTAGGGTTTAGGGTTTAGGGTTTAGGGATGTTTAGGGTCTAGGGTTTAGGGTTTGGGTTCAGGGTTTAGGAACGAGTTTAAGCCCCCACTTGGAGGTTCGCGGGGTTTAGGGTTTCGGGTTTGCTTAACACCAGTCACATGGGGTTGAGACAGAGAGGTTCATTCTTGGCTCAGCGTACTTTTTGCCCTTTTACGGTTCCGGGCCTCCTTGCAACATGTCCCAACCCCCGAAAAGGGTAATATAAGGGCCTTAATTAGAATAGGGCTTTGGGGGTTATTATAGTATATTTATAAAGGGACCATAAGGGAATATCATTTCAAATGAGTAATTATTCCGACCCCTGTAGTACCAATACTAGAGCATGTTTACTTGGCTACCAAGCATTTTGGGTTGTTGGTGTTTTGGGGTTGGAACGCATAAGTTCAGGGTTTGGGGTAGATACGTGCATTACCTAGCCGCTAGACAGCCACATCACTTTTGCCTGTGACCTTGTTGACCCTATAGCCTAGGTACCTGGTGAAGTTCTTTCAACCATACATCCTTGAGTGCACCTATAACCGGTATTCAGCCCCCGCCGCCCGCCTCGCGCCGCAAAATGTTCGAGCAGGGGGCGGCTTGCGTCAGCCGTGCCATTTGCACCGTTGAGCCTGCTGCCTGCATCCGGCTTGCGAACGGAGGACCGGAAACCCGAAACCCGAAGCCCGAAACCTCTACACCCCAAACCCCAAGCCCTGAACTCTAAACCCTCCACCCACTCGAACCGGCCCTAACCCCAAAGTAGCTTCGGCAGCCGTCCTCCGGCAAGTGAGCCAGGGCCCTTGGAGGTCATGAGTCCAAAAAGCACTTCTACACGAAATGCAATGGAGCATTTGGAGGGTAGCTGCGATGGAATATAGATTTAGGTAACGATATATAGTTATGTATGTATGTATGTACGTACGTACGTACGTACGTACGTACGTACGTATGTATGTATGTATGTATACAAATGTGTATAATCTATCAATATACGTATTGATACCGATGTATTGGTAGATCTGTATTTGTATATGTATATATGTATACATATATGTATAATATATATATATATATATATCAAATGATGGGATTTGCGGTTCTGAAGAGCGCATGGTTACCAGAGTTCCGCTGTTTAGCTGTTTAGCTTCAGCAGCTTTTCATTTCGAAGCGACTTCCCAATTCGGGGTGGATGGGATGCAAACCCTAAACCCGAAACCCTGTTCCCTTTTAGGAGTCCTGGCTTTCCAAGGGCCGTACCCTTAAACCATTGAGCCCGCCGACCGTCCTGAAGGTGAAACTTCCGTCACTCGCTGCCACACAAGTGTGAATGTGTTGGACAGTTTGGCTTGGGTGCGTAGGGATTTCGCGGCTTAGGTTTTTGAGGTTTTTGGGGTGCTAAACCCTGAACCCTCAACCCTAAACCGAAAAACCCTAAACCCTAAACCCTGCTTTGGGGTAGAGGATAGGGAGGGCACCCAGAAGGTTTTGGGTTTAGGGTTTAGGGTTTAGGGTTGCAGCTACACTACAAGCCGCAAGCTTGCTATTGAGATACTTCGAGCGCCCTGAAACTCTAGCGCTCTTCCAAGGGCACATTCAGGTGAAGACCGCTTCGGGTTCAGGGGCTCCGGGGTTTGGGGGAAGGGCGCTTAGCGTTTAGGGTTTAGGGTTTAGGGTTTAGGGTTTCGGGTTTAGGAAGATTTCGGAGTCAGACGCATGTGTTCTGGTTTTGATGCCAGGTGTCCGTCTCCCTCTTCCCCGGCTTTGGGTTGAGGGTTGAGCTTTGGGATGTTCCCCTTGTACTAACAGTCCTTGATAGGGAGTATAATCGGGGGTGCTGGAATCCCTATTACGGACTTTGAGTATAAGGGCGAACATCCCAAGTTGAGCCCCATTTTTCCTTGAAGGCAACATGTGGCACAATACAACACTGAGCTTCAGCCTTGGGGTCCGTGGATTCAGTTTGGGGGTGTTTTGGGTGTAAAGTTTAGTGTAGGGTGTGGGGGGCCTAGACAGGAGAAGCTAAAATCCCAAACCCTAAACCCTAAACCCTGAACCCTAAACCCTAAACCCTAAACCCTAAACCCTAAACCCTAAACCCTAAACCCTAAACCCTTTGTTGCAAGAGTGCCGGAAGGGTATGCGATTCTCGCTTCCACGGGCGACGAGAAACCCTCGTCCGGCCTGCCGGACTGGCGATTGCGTAGCTCGGTCTGCTGTTCGCCTCCAGCTGTAGAACCGAAAAGCCTGAACCCTAGCCCTAAACCCTAAACCCTAAACCCTAAACCCTAAACCCTAAACCCTAAACTCTAGACCCTAAACCCTAAACCCTGCATTTAGTGGATTTAGGGTTTAGGTCCTGGGCCCAAAAGCCTGAACCTTAGCCTGAAACCCTGGATTTAGCGGGTTTAGGGTGTAGGGGTTTGGGGTTTGGGCCTGAGACCCTTAGCTACAACCCATAAAAGCCCGCAGAAAGCCACACCCACACACACAAACAACATGGTGTCCTTTCAGCTCCAGGAGCTCCAGCCCCAAACCCGAAAACAACACTCCACGGCCAGGTTTAGGGTTTAGGGTTTGGGGTTTGGGGTTTGGGGTTTTGGGTTTCGGGTTTCGGGTTTCGGGTTTCGGGTTTCGGTTGGAATTCTGTCTTCATGGTTCTTGTCCCACAAAGCCCACAGGATTATTGGTTTAGGGGCTTTCGTGTGTTGTGCTGACTATATAAGTCGCTCAAGCACCCCCCCTTCCCCCCACAAAGAAAGGAAATTGATCCCCTATATGTCCCTTATAGGTAGGGAAGAATCCCCAACTCGAGGCCCGCAAGCTTCAGCTCATGGTTTCGGGTTTGGTCTATAAGGTGCAGGTTTTAGGTTTTAGGGTTTAGGGGTTTAGGGTTGAAAGTCGAGGGTCTTGGGTTTAAGGTTCAGGTTTTAATTTTGGGTTGAGAGTTTAAGGTCGAGGGCTGGCGAACCTAGAACCCAAAGCCAAAAGACCCTGAACCCCTAAACCCCAAAACCTAAACCTCCCAACCCCTAAATCCCAAATGGTAGACCATGCATCCTAGATCTCAAAGCTGTTGCACCTGAGTTTTGCGAACGTCAGCCCAGCTCATGCAGCTTACACTAAACGGCGGTACTTACCATGTCTGTCGAAGACGTCCGCAGTGTCTCGTTACCCTCTGCTCTGAGAGCGAACATTGCAGGGTCTAGGGTTACATTGGTTGGTGGTCTCTTTAAGTAGGGTTTCTGTTGTGTAGGGGCTTCTTATTAGGGTATCTAGGGGCTTTTTAAGGTATAAGGGTAACAGACAAAGAGACCACCGGCCTTTATAAGTTTAGGGTTTAGAGCTTACGGGGCGGTCTCAACTAGGATTTAAGGTGAGACTGGAAGACCTAAACTGAACCCTACAACCCGAATCTGCACTATCTCGAACAAAAACCCATGAAGAGAACAAGGCATGAGCTGCGAGCTCAATGCTTGAAGGTTTAGGGTTTAGGGTTTAGGGTTTAGGGTTTAGGGTTTAGGGTTTAGGGAAAGCCCCCCTTCCAAAAGTCCACCAGTACGTTGCGGGCGTGTGCGCGTGCGCGTGTATGTCAGATGGGCCCCCACAGGTGGGGCTTCTCGTCACAGGCAAGCAGAAAAGAGGGTTGAGGTGTTTAGGGTTTAGGAGGGCAAGGTACGGAGCGAGATTGGGGGGGGGGGGGGTTGGGGGGGGGTTTTGGGTTTGAGGTTTAGGGTGTGGAGTTTCCAGCGTTCAAGTGTTGTTGGTTCGGTTTCATAGGAATGCAGACCTGAGCAAGAGAGAGCCCCTAAAGCCCATACAGCCTTTTGGGGGAGGGAAGGCACAACTCCCTAAACCCTAGACTGGCCCTTAAACCCTAAAGCCTAGACCTGCAACCCTAAACCCTAAACCCTAAACCCTAAAACCTAACCCTAAAAACTAACCCTAAACCCTAAACCCCAAACCCTAAACCTTAAACCCTAGAGTGATGGAGGGGAGTTGGGGGGTGGGGGTTCACTGTTGCAGGCTTCAGCCTGAGGTATCGTTGTATCATCCTCGGCCCCAGAAGCCTAAGCATTGCAGGGATTAGGGTTTAGGGTTCAGGGGTCAGGGCTTAGGCGGTCTTAAAAGGTGTATGGCCGTTTTAAGCCTGACATTGGCCTAATGTAGGGTTCAGTCTTTAGGGTTAAGGGTTCAGGGTTTAGGGTTTAGGGTCGCGGGTCCTCCATAAGCAAGCGTTCGCGCAGCATATCGGCTCCCGCATTTCTTCAGGAGAGAGAGAGAGAGAGAGAGGCTTGTTGCAATCTTGCCGAACCGAGCAATGTCCGGGGCCAAGTGACCCTGGTGTCGGGGGTTTGGAGATTTATGGTTTAGGGGTTTAGGGTTTTGGGTGTTGCCCTCGACTCAAACCCTAAGTCCCAAACCCTAAACCCCCAAACCCCAACCCCCAAACCCTAGACCCGTCAAGCACAAAAACCACGCCATGCCAGGTACGTGGGATTCCTGTCCGGTGCCAGCAAGTATGGCAGGCCGTTGCCGGGCTGGGATTGTAGGGTTCAGGGCAGCGCTTCAGACCCTAAACCCTAAACCCTAAACCCTAAACCCTAAACCCTAAACCCTAAACCCTAAACCCTAAACCCTAAACCCTAAACCCCGAACTCCACACTGAGGCCTGGGGTCTAGAGTTTGACAGGGTGGTGTTTGGGCTGTCTTGAGAGCCGAACCCCGGCACCCTCAACCATCAATCTCTCCTCCCCCCCCTTAATATGCCCTAGACAGCTTTAGGGTTTAGGGTTTAGGGTTTAGGGTTTAGGGTTTAGGGTTTGTATGCAGACATACCCACCCCAAGACCACCCAAACACTACTCAAAACGAAGCCAACCGGAGCCAACCGAACCCGAGCTCGCCAAGCCAATGTTACACGCGTCCGCAGAAGACGCTATGCTTCAGGTTTGTCGGCTGCTCCCGCGGAGCTTGACTATTAATTAGGGTTTAGGGTTTAGGGTTTAGGAACAGGCGAAGACCTTGTGAAGGACACAAGTATCTTCCCGAAGAAAACTCAATTTTGCGGTGGGGGACTTCTTCGGCCGGAGGGCCTTCTCATTGCTTACTCATCGTGTCTGGAATGCCAAGGTGCAGGGTGAAAGTCACAAAGCACGAAGCATCCGAGCGAAAAATTAGGTTTCGCGCTGGGGGACGTCACACGTCTTCGGCGGGAGGGCTTTCTAGTCTTTTATCATCGACTCCGGATTGCCAGGGTGCATGGCGAAAACCTGCTGCCATCCGATCGAAGTTATATGTAGAGTGCATACTATGTATAGGGAACCAAAAATGCGGGGCAAACGTAAAATCCTAAAACCCCTTGACCTTGCATCATCCCAAGACCATGACATTTGCCATCAACCGACTCCTAAACCCTAAGCCCGTCAGCCCTAAGCGTGCAACTGGGCCGAATCCGCAGGTGGATCCCGGAAGCAGAGATCAAAGCGCGTGCCGTGGCAGGCCGATTTTTGCTCGCGCCTTCGGGGTTCAGGGTTTGGGGTTTAGGGCTTGGGGTTTAGGGGCTAGGGTTTGGGGCATAGGGGTTAGGGCTTGAGGGTTAAGGAGGTTATAGGCTTGAGAGGGTTTCGGATTTAGGGTTTAGGGTTATGGTGGATGCTCAATTTGATCCCAAGCCTTCTTCCTGCAGGGTATGACTCTAAAGCCCGTTATGGGGTTCTTTGGTCACCTACAAGAAAGTAGGTTTTGGGTTCTTAAGGTTTTAAGGTCGGTTTTATCGTTTTTTCGAACCCTGAAGCCATAAACCCTGAACCAAACACCCTAAACCGCAGCCGTATATTCCGGTTTAGGTTTCAGGGTTTCACGCAGCGCTTCAGGACAACTTCGGGCATAAGGCAATTCACATCACCTCTTCCCACCTGTTAGAGGTAGTTAACGGTTGCAGGTGCTTTCTAGCCCACCCACCCCCGAACCCCGCCCCAGGATTTGTTGGGTCCGCCTGTCAGCCGGGGGAGGTTGCAGCTTGGCGGGTCGTCCCAAAATGGCGCAGGCACGCTGCAGCTCAAAAACTCCAAGGCGACGCGGGCTTTGCAGACCTGCCGCCCGAAGACAAGGACGGCGAATCAAACATCTTGACATTGGAAGAGATCCTGGGTGGGCCCGTTGATTCCGAGGTTACTTTGACGCGAGCTTTGCTGATGCGCAGCCTTTACAGTGGCACTCAACAGAGGAAGACCCAGTTGGAGAGCTTCGTTCGTTTTGCACATGGTTGCTTGCTTGTCGGAGATCGCTGAAGAGCTCGGTGTTCTCACGTGCCACGTTCTGCATGCCGCCACCCCTGCACCCTGGAGCGGTGGTGGCGCCGACAACTCTGCAGGAAGACGCCCTCAACGCCCTCAACCTTCTAACCCCCGACTTCCTAAACCCTAAACCCTAAACCTTCTAAACCCTCTAAACCCTGAACCTAAACCCTAGTGCATCAAAGGCCCCCACGTCTGTGGTCCTTGGCCCCCTCTCCTCCGGTTCCTTCCTGAAGGCGGCGCGACCATCGACTTCTCCCAGGCTGCATCGGAGAATCATGGGGCTTTGAGAGTTCAAGGTTGCGGGCTCTAGGTTGTTGGCTGTTGATGGGTTAAGACTTCATGGGGATTCGGCCTGAGGTTACTTGCATCAGAACAGCCGGGAAACTTCAGGGGTTGCCATCGATGTATGCTTACTCACGTATGAGAGGTCTGTACAGGATAACTCGGAGTTACGCGGCCACGTGTACAAAGGCAAAACCGTTTCCACATCCAGTTGTGGCGACGTGGGCTCGCAAGGTTTGCCGGGAACTTGTAGGTTTACGGTTTCTGTGGAGCGTCAGCTGATTCAGATCATTATGGAGGTGAAGGACACGTACGAGACTTGGGTCAAGGGTCGAGTCCAAAGGATGTTTCAAGCAACTTCCGCCTCTGAGCGCCCCCCCCAAAAAATCCGTAAAGACCCACAAAGAAGATTCCAGAGCTTCTCCACTGAAAGGTTTCCCAGTCGCAATGAGCTTAGCTACTCGCCCAAGCAACAACCATGCGGAGAGTCTTCGGTGGGGCATATAGTTGGGTTTAATGACTACAGTCATAATTGGCGTTTGAAGTACACGGAGCCTCGCAGCATCTAGTCCCCCTCGTCCCTAATCCCAAATCCCTAAACCCTGAATATTAGACTTACCAAACACTGAACTTTTATCACCCGGAACCCTACACTTACTAAACCCTAAACTTTCAAGAGACCCCGAAGCCTAAACCCCAACCCTAACCTAAACCCTAAACCCATTCAAGCCCCAATCCCTGCAACCAGAACCTCCAAGCAAGCCCCACTTCGTCTCAGGCGCTGTTTGTGCATCCCGTCATCACGGTCCGTGCCGCTGCGTTCTGGGGCGGCTTGCTAGCGCGTTTAGGGGTTCGGCCAGGTAGTCGCCGACTCTTCAGTTGAGGGACCCGGAACCCCAAACCCTAAACCCTAAACAGGCCTATAGGGTCTAGAGTCTTCGTAGCCCAGTGGTACCCTTGACCCTTTTTTTGGTTCAAGGTTCCCTTTTAAAGTAGCCAACCAAAAAATGGGCGCCCTTATGTTAATATAGCTACTGGGCTACCAAGGAGTGGAGCTGCCTTAGCCAGAAAGAGAGAGTTTGAGTCTGGGGTCCAGGGTCTGGGATCTTAGGGTTTAGGGTTTAGGGTTTAGGGTTTAGGGTTTAGGGTTTAGGGTTTAGGGTTTAGGGGTGTAGGGTTTAGGGGTATAGGGTTTAGGACATAGGGCCTAGGGTTTCGGGCTGAGGGTTCAGGGTTGAGGTCCCCGAAAGTCCGCAAATGCTGCCAGTTGTTGAGGGCAGCCCCAACCCCCCCCTACCCCCTGTTTTGTTGTCGATTTCGTACAGCCAAATCAACTCCCCTCTCAGGAGTTTAGGGTTTTCAGCTTTGGGTTTACGGCGTGGGGAGCTTTCGGGGACTGGGGCTTTAAGCAGCAGGGGCTGGCGTTCGTTAGGTGGCGTCTCCCTGATCGTGCCGCCGAACGTTTTGGTGCAACAGCAGCACGGATGCACGTACAGGGTTTAGGGTTTAGGGTACCTAAACCCTAAACCCTAAACCCTAAACCCTAAACCCTAAACCCTAAACCCTAAACCCTAAACCCTAAAACATCTTAAAACCCCTAGAAGTTCCCTTAAACCCTAAACCCTGTACAAGCCCATGATCCACCCGCAGCAGCCTGAAAAGCCCTCAACAGTTCCTTTGACAGGATTAACACCTTAAACCCTACACCTTCATTCGGCTTGGGAAACCCTTTTCCACCAAAGGAAGATTTGCTGAAGAGGATTTGCGGTTTAATCAATCACTTACCTTACTTGTTTCTGCGTAGGCCGTTAGGTAGCCTTTCCCCTTATCGGGCCCTTTAAGGTATTCTCTCAGAACTGTATGGGTACCGAATTCTCGACTCATTTCCTACTACAAACAAGCAAGCGCCGCGCGACTACAGAAGACCGAGGGTCTTTTGTTTAGAGCTCAGGGTTTGCGGGGTTAAGCTCGAAACCCTAAAACCTAAACCCCAAGCCCCAAACCCCAAGCCCTAAACCCTAAACCCTAAAGCCTAAACCCTATCCCTAAACCCTAACCCTAAAACCTAAACCCTAAACCCTAAAGCCTAAACCCCAGGAATGGCCGGGCCATTCTTGGCGGATTCGGGGATGGCGGCGGCGTCTACCACAGCAGCCTCTTGCGCTCAACTGTTGGGTGGGGGATTTAAATTCGGTTTTAGGGTTCAGTTTTGGGTTTCTAGGGTTTCTGGAGTTTCTAGGGTTTAGGCGGTTTAGCGTTTAGGGTTCAGGGTTCGGGGTTCGGGGTTCAGGGTTCAGGGTTCAGGGTTGGGGGTTTGAGGTTTAGGGTTTAGGGCCCTGAGCCCTAAATGCGCATAGCCGACATCCTTCCCCCCGAAAGTCCACTTCTTCGCGAAGTCGGGCGGCGGAGGAGTGTTGAGGGTGTAAGGTCGACTTGGAGCTTCGTGGGTGCTTGTGATAGCTAGGGTAATAAGTAGGGTGGCTAAAGCTATACTTGGCATCTAACGTTATGTAGGGTACCCGTCGCCCTACTTCCCAGTGCCCATGGACCTCCACGTAGGTCAGGGGGGACAGCATCTTCGACATGGTAAATATGGACCCCAAGTGGTAGGATCCCTTGAAAAATCGGGGACCCAACTAGGTACCCCGATTTTCGAAAACCCTGAACCCTAAACTATAGACACTGAACCCCAAATCCCGCCAGAACGCGCCCGGAGCTTCGCTGAATTCCCAAGGTTTCTGTCAGCCCCAGCCCGAGACCTCAAACCCTCCACTACTCGGGGTTTCCTACCCTTTTTGGGGTTTGGGGTTCAACCCAGTGTCAACAACAGCACTAAAGCCGAAACCTTTAATCCTAAACTCTCTACAAACATCTGTCGGCCTAAGCCTCACAAGGCTCCGGCTGTGTGCCCGAGACGTTGACAAACTCGGGGGTCACGATCAAGGCAGGACCCAAGGAGCTTTCGGCAGAGAGGGTGTAGGGCTTAGGGTTTAGGATTTTAGGGGTCAGGGTGTAGGGTTTTACAAGGTTTTTGGGGGTTTACCCAGGTGCTTTCTTGTGGTGCTTTACCGGGCAAATGCAGATTTTTTCATTGCTCATTGGCTTGATGGTCAGAATTCCCATCCCTTTGGCTTGTTTTTCAGCGGTTTGAGGGAGGATGCGGCCCGAGCAGGTGAAATGTTCTACAACCACAAGAACATGCATACAGCTTGCAAGCACACCTGCGAACTCTATAGTCCTTAAACCCTAAACCTTATATTGGTTGGTGGTCTCTTTAAGTAAGTAGGGTTTCTGTTTTGTAGGGTTTCTTATTAGGGTATCTAGGGGCTATGTGAAGGTAGAAGGGCAACAGCTAAAGAGGCCACCGGCCTTTATAACCTAAGCCCTTATTGGGGTGGAGTGGCTACGGCCTTCTGTGCTTGAGGAGTTCGCGTGGAGGTTCATGCGTATCTACAAGTGGGGCTCTACCCCAAACAAGGCAACCCTAGCTGCCCTACTTCCAACCCGACGTTTCAGCACCCATGCACCTCCAGGTATCGGGCTTCGTTTCTTGTTTTCCTTTTTGATTGCTGAGGGCTTGTATGGAAAGCCCGAAGCCCTAAACCAAACACAGTTTGATTTGTGTATCGAAGCCCAGTAAGTTTTAAGGGCTTAGGGAACCCTAAGCCCTGAACCCTAAACCGTGAAACTTTAGCCCCCAAGCACTCAACATTGACAGATCGTGGGCACCGCTGTGATGGGTTCCGTCAGCGCCGTGGTGAACCGCAAGGCCTCTCCACCGGCCTAAGACTTTCCTAATCCCAACCAAACCTAAACCCTAAACCCTAAACCCCAAGCCCAAGCCTTTTTGGTGCTGTCTTACAACGCATCTTGAACTGCTTCGTAGCCCTTCGTGGTGATGTCCATTGTATTCTTTTGCGCTTTATGGTTCTGCGCCTTTACCAAAGAAAGGGTGCCCCTTATCAGCACATGGTTACTGGGCTATCAAGTGGGCGGGTTGCTGACGTTCAAGGTTCAGGGGTTCAATTCGGATTGTCGTGGACTGGGCCCTTATCTCAACCCCGAACTGACTTTTTGCATGTTGTAGTAACCCGAAACCCTAAACCCTAACTAAACCCTAAACCCTAAGCCCTAAACCCCAAGCCCTAAACCCTAAACCCGATAAAGCTCCTTCTGGAATTCTTGGGCAAACTGAACAAATAGGCTCGGGTCCCACACTGCGTCATACACATCCTCGCTATTTGTATGTATCCTAATGTCTACATATCTCCTCATTATGGCAACTTGCGTTCCTGAAGAAGAGCTCCGAATTAGGGAGGGGACTGGCTGGTTCTTAGTAGGGAATGAGGGAATCAGGGGCCTCAACCCTCAACCCTCAACCCTCAACCCTCAAACCCTCAACCCTCAACCCTAAACCCTAAACCCTAAACCCTACTAAGAACCAGGGAGGGGATTGCTCTCATGTGAGCGCGCCCAGTTCGCCGTTGCGTGGACTCGCGGGGCGATCGAGTCCGGGGTTAGGGTTTAGGGTCAGGAGTCTGAGGATGTCCGAGGAACAGCTACATACTTCAGGGTTTGGGGTTTTGGGTTTAGGGTTTAGGGTTTAGGTTGTAGGGTTTAGGGTTGGGGTTTAGGGTTAGGGAGCCTGAATCAGCGACTTGCCTCATCTTCTGTCTCAGCCGTTCAAAGTCAAAGCGGCCCTAATCGTAGAAGACCCCCCACATCCTAGACGAGCCATCTGCAACTCGACGCTGGATCCTATGTGCCTTAGACCCCTGGCTGACCTTGATGGAAACCGCAGACGCCGGGCACGGCAGGTCCTGCTTTTGGGCCTTTTCCTGGTTTGGGCTGGGGGCCGCGGTGGCCTCGCTGCTTCGTTCCAGCTTCAGCAGCACCTACTTGCCCACGACAATGGTGGTGGCATTGACTACGGCGCCGGCCGCACTTGGCACCACGACGCCGGCCGCACTTAGCAGGACGGCACCGACGGCGCCACCAGCACTTGAAGCAACCTTGCCTGCTGTGACCACCAATCCAGCCCGGATCTGCAACTTAGGGGCTGGGCAGTTAACCTTTAACTCTTCTGCTTGTATAGAATCCTATTACAAACAAAAAGGTTCTCCTTTTTGGTGCCTAGGGTATTCAGCCCCCTAAGGCAAGGCTTCCAGGGAGTTCGGCGCATGGCCAAAGATGCCCGCCGCCTCGGCTACGCCGCCCTTCTACTGGGACAAGCATATTGTGCTCATTGGCGACTCGAGGACGCGATACCAGTACGCGTCGCTTGCGTATTACTTTACGTACGATGCCTTTGCGACGGACAGCGAGGTCCCCTTCTTAGCCAGCATGGAGAAGACGAAGATGTCATGGACCGAATGGTACAACCTCACCAGCGAGGTCTTGCGGCATGAGATCTGCAACTGCCCCTAGACTGCCTCGTAGAGTCCCCTCTTCTTACTTATAGAGTCTCGCTGTCAGTTCTCTGGGTCATTGTCTTTGTGTATGTATATGTATATATATATATACACAAGGTTAAACAGGGATTGTAGTATCCCCCCCCATTCTAATCCATATTAAGGACGCTAAGTACAAGGGAGAACATCCCAACAATCCAAGAAGCAAAGCGTGTCCGGATGATCTCCGGCACTTTTTGGATCTTCAGACTATGGGTTCTAGAACTTTCCTGGCAGTCTTCGAGAATATGGCTTTGCTATACAAGTTATGGTTTTCTGAGAAGTTGTGTGTTTCGGGGCTTTTCTGGCCAGCTTGTGTTTTGTCCAGGCAACTGGGGAAATCCGACAGTGCAACGTTCTCCGTTTTGTTGTTTTTCGATTTCCCTGGTAAGATAGCCTTCGTCGTGCACATTGAGCTTGTAGTTTTTATTTATTGTTTATGTACTTTATTTATTTATTTATTTATGTGTTGGTTTGTTTTGTTTTTTATGTTATTGCATTTTTCATTTCAAAATAATTGTTTAACAAACTTTCCTATTTATCTATCCATATATGTATTGTATTTTATTAGTATGAAAAATCTGAATATGAAAATAAGCCAACACATCAGTCAATATACATATGTATATATACATATATATATATAAATATGTGTACACACATTTTTTGCATTCTGGCACGGACCACAAGCAACTGCCCTCGTGACCTTTAGAGCCTTTCGAAGTCGAGCTGAGGCTACCGCGGTTTGGGGTGGACGGCCAACGTGTCTGTGGAGCACCACTACTACCGCAACCCAAGCAAAAAGCTGGCCATCACCTACCTGCAGACCTATGGGAGGAAGTACCTAAACCCTAAACCCTAAACCCTAAACCCTAAACCCTAAACCCTAAACCCTAAACCCTAAACCCTAAACCCTAAACCCTAAACCCTAAACCCATGGGAGGAAGTACGTCATGCAGGGCCACTGGCAGGCGGATGGCACAAGAGCAGCTTGCCAGCCCAGGGGTGCCCTTTGGCCCCTTTTCTGTGGTTCTCGGTTCCCTTGTAAAAGTAGCCAACGCCACACAAAGGGATGCTCCTAAAGCCTAAACCCTAAAGCCTAAACCCTAAACCCTAAACCCTAAACCCTAAACCCTAAACCCTCAACCCTCAACCCTAAACCCTAAACCCTAAACCGGGGCTACCAAGGTGGAGTTATGCGGTGTGCAGTGTGGGCCGAACCAATGCAACCCCCGCATTATCCCCCCAACCTGGACCGTGACCAACCTTAGAGACTCAGTCCGGTCATGCCATGTTTTGTCCTGTTCGGGTTTAGGGTTTAGGGTTTAGGGTTTAGGGTTTAGGGTTTGGGGTTTTAGGTTTTGGGTTTAGGGTTTAGGGCTCAGGGTTTAGGTTTTAGGGCTTCCTTTGTTGCACGTAGCTAGCACACAACGGTATCCTTATTGTAGTATGGCTTCTGGGAAACCAAGGAGAGCTTGGGAGACTCCTTATCCAGCTCAAGCCAGACATTGCTACTTGGCTGGGAGCCAGATGGGTTTAGGGTTTAGGGTTTAGGGTTTAGGGTTTAGGGGTTAGGGACAGCAGGGAGTTGCAGGATGGTTGATGAACCCCAAAATCCTAAACCCGACGAAAGTTAAAGGGGCAGGGGGCCTGTAGAGTTTAGGGTTTAGGGTTTAGGGTTCAGGGTTCAGGGTTTAGGGTTTAGGCTTTAGGGTTAAGTCGAAGCGTTGCAGAATCTCGTCGCTTCCGGGGGCGAAGGTCTTCAGCGTGTTCAGGAGTGTGGTTATCCGGGGTTTGGGGCTTAGGGCTCCTGCAAATCAACCACCCATGAAAAATATGGTACGGTACAAGAGTCCAAATGTTCCTACTGTATACCGGGGGCACCCTGTCTTGGGCGAGGGCTTACAATGTCTGATGGTCAAGTAAGCACTTCTGTGCGCTAAGCCCTAAATCGTCAACCCTAAACCCTAAACCCTAAACCCTAAACCCTAAACCCTAAATCCTAAATCCTAAATCCTAAACCCTAAACCCTAAACCCTAAACCCTAAACCCACCAAACCCAGGTGGTGTACAGCCCCGGATGGGAGGAGCTGGTGGGCTGGAAACAAGAAGAGGCTGTGCAGCTTTTTGAAGACGTCCAGGCCTCGTGCCCCACGACCCAGATTTACCTGAAGACCCGACTCGCTCCCTGGACCCCAGTTTAGGGTTTGGGTTTAGGGTTTAAGGTTTAGGGTTTAGGGTTTAGGGTTTAGGGTTTAGGGTTTAGGGTTTAGGGTTTAGGGCTTAGGGCTTAGGGTTTAGGGTTTAGGGTTTAGGGTTTAGGGTTTAGGGCTTAGGGTTTAGGGTTTAGGGTTGTGTATCTGGGGTTTAGGGTTTAGGGTTTAGGGTGCCCTGTGTACCGGAAGACCCGACTCGCTCCCTGGACCCCTGATGGGGGTTTCCGAGACTAGGGGGTACTCGTACCTTATTGGGGGTCCTTATTATAAGGGAATCATGCTATTAGGAGTCTATACTAGGGGGTTCGCTTGTTTTCGTAAACCCCAGATAAGGGTTCAGGGCTTAGGGTTTAGGGTGCAGTTAGGGTGCACTTACTCCCTTTTTTCATGCCCCACCTAACCATGAACCCTGAACCCTAAACCGAAAGCCCTAATCCCTAAACCCCTAAACCCCGAAACCCCTAAACCCCTAAACCCCTGAACCCCTGAACCCCTGAAACCCCCTGAAACCCCCTAAACCCCTAAACCCCCCTAAAACCGCTAAAGCCCGAAACCCGAAATTCTAAGCTGCAAACGGGTGTCCTCTCATGCCGTAGGGGCTGGGTAGTTCACCTTTAACCTTTTTGGTTATATATAATCTTATTACAAACAAAAAGGTTAACCTTTCTTGGGCTAGGACCGGGAGTAGGCCCTTTTTTTCCCCTTTTTTTTGGCCCCTTAAAACCAAAAAGGGTACCCTCTTTATTCCTAGGTTACTCCCGGGTCCAACCCTAAACCCTAAACCCGAAACCCTAAACCCTAAACCCTAAACCCTAAACCCTAAACCCTAAACCCTAAACCCTAAAATTCAGCCCCTAAGATGCTGGGTTACCGGAAGACCAAGGCGCGGTCGATGGAAAACCCCTCGGCCTTCTCTTCGTGGGCCAAGAAGTTCTATGGAAGTATGTGCCTGGAGTTTAGGTTTTAGGGTTTAGGGTTTAGGGTTTAGGGTTGTGTAGCTGGAGTTTCAGGGTTTAGGGTATGTACGTACCTGGAGTTGAGGGTTTTAAGTTTAGCGTTTAGGGTTGTGTGTACCTGGCGTTTAGGATTTGGGGGCGGCAGGTTCGCCACCTGGGGTTGAAATGGACATTGCCTTCCATACTTCCATTGAGAAACCTGATCCCTCTATAAACTTACACTTCTAGCGCCCCCCGCCCCCCTCCCCCGACAGAATATGCGATCCTTTATATCTCATATCGCCCCCTTAAAGCCTCCCCCATGGGGCCCCTTAAATAGACCCCAAAGTAGTAGGATTCCTTACAATAGAAGGACCCACAAACAACCTAAAACTCTCAACCCGGAACCCTAAACCCTAAACCCTAAACCCTAAACCCTAAACCCTAAACCCTAAACCCTCAACCTCAGGTACAGCAAGTACCGGTTCGCGGAGCGCGGCTGGCGCCTCTGGGACGTCTCCAACCTCACGGCGGCCTGGAAGGCCGAGGACAGCCGGAAGGTCAACAGCAGCAAGAAGCCCAGCGACATGAAGGCCTCCTTCATGTGGGTTTAGGGTTTAGGGTTTAGGGTTTTTTGGCTTTTGGGCTTTAGGGTTTTAGGGTTTTAGGGTTTTAGGGCTCATGACTTCATGAAGGCCTCCTTCATGTGGGACACGTATCACTACAACCTGGCTTCCAACAACGCCTTCAACCGGCATCTGCTGCAGCTGCTCTTTGGCGTCGACGTGGGCTGACGAAAAAAAGCGGGCGCCAATCTCAATCTCGTAGGTTTTGGGTTTTTGGGTTTTTGGGTTTTTGGTTTTTTGGTTTTTTGGGCTTTTGGGTTTTTGGGTTTTTGGGTTTTTGGGTTCTTGGGTTTTTGGGTTTTTGGGTTTTTGGGTTTTTGGGTTTTTTTTTGGGTTTTTGGGTTTTTGGGTTTTTTGGGTTTTGGGTTTTTGGGTTTTTGGGTTTTTGGGTTTTTGGGTTTTTGGGTTTTTGGGTTTTTGGGTTTTTGGGTTTTTGGGTTTTTGGGTTTTTTGGTTTTTGGGTTTTTGGGTTTTTGGGTTTTTGGGTTTTTGGGTTTTTGGGTTTTTGGGTTTTTGGGTTTTTGGGTTTTTGGGTTTTTGGGTTTTTGGGTTTTTGGGTTTGTGGGTTTTTGGTTTGTGGGTTTTTGTGTTTTGGGGTTTTTGGGTTTTGGGGTTTTGGGGTTTTGGGGATTTGGGTTTTTCGTTTGTTGTTTTTTGGGTTTCTGGGTTTTTGGATTAGGGTTTAGGGCTTAGGGTGGAAGATCTTGCTTTTCGGAACTCGAAAGCCTGAAAGCCCTAAACACCAAGCCATCACAAGGGCTCTTCACCCTAACCCCCCAAAACCTCGGCCCTGAACTGCCCATTAAACCCTAGACCCTAGACCCCAAACCCTAAACCCTAAACAGCCTTAGCCTTGGACCCTAAACCCTAAACCCGAGACCCTAAACCCTAAGCAGCCTAAGCCCTAAACCCCAAACAGCCTAAGCCCCAGACCCTAAACCCTAGAGCCTAAACAGCCTGAGCCTTTGCTTCCGGGGCCGGAAGGGCCTGCAACTCCCATGAGGCACGGCCGGCAGAACTCCTGACCCCGGAGGAGGCTCGCATTTAAACCCTAAACCCCTAAATCCTAAACCCTCCTTGCTGGTTCAGCTGTTTCGGGATAGCGGCCTTACGGCCCCTCGGGTAAGGGGGTTAGTGTGTAGGGTGTAATTAGGGTTAGTTTAGGGTTTAGGGTTTAGGGTTTAGGGTTTAGGGTTTAGGGTTTTAGGGTTTTAGGGTTTAGGGTTTAGGGTTTATGGTTTAGGGTTTAGGGTTTAGGGTTTCAGGAAACTTCGAAGCCCCAGAGCCCTGTTTCAGGCAGCTGCCAAGATGCAAGAGGCCCCTGAGCCCTCCACTACGCGCGAGGACTGCAGCAACCCCTAAACTTTGAGGGCTAGGGTTTAGGGTTAGGGTTTAGGGTTTAGGGTTTAGGGTCTAGGGTCTAGGGTCTAGGGTTTAGGGTTTAGGGTTTAGGGTTTAGGGTTTAGGGTTTAGGGTTTAGGGTTTAGGGTTTAGGGTTAGGCTGTAGGGTGTAGGGTTTAGGGTTTAGGGTTTCTACCTTAAGGCCCTCGAGCTCTAAGGGATGTGAAGCCATGTGCTGATGATGCCGTATGCCGTATGCCCCAGCATGTTAGGGCTTAGGGAACCTTTGAAGACTCTGATGTAGTCCTCTGCTGGTGAGAATTCTATGAAGTACAGTTTTCCTACTAGGAAGCAGAGCAAAAAGGAAGAACCCAAAGTTCATTTTTTGTAGTTACTTGTTCCAACCGTGAAAGAGGTGGGTTGTAGGTTCTTAAGGCAAGCCCGTACCCTAAACCCTAAACCCTAAACCCTAAACCCTAAACCCTAAACCCGGCCCTAAACCCTAAACCCTCAACCCGAAGCCCACCGTGAAAGGACCTCCGACAGCAGATTCTGGGAGATGTCCTCGGTGCCCATGCCGCCACGGCGCCCCCTGCGGCTGCGCAGGCATTGCAGCAGGCCCCCACGCTGGGAGCGGCTAAGGGTTTAGGGTCTAGGGTTTAAGGTTGAGGGTTGAGGGTTGCGGGTTGAGGGTTTAGGTAGGGTTTAAAAGTTTAGGGTTTCGGGTTTGGGGTTTAGAGTGTGTTTCTTGCCCAAACTCCTGGCAGCATACCGAGACAAGGGGAACTTGGTGCAACACAGCTCCATATGAAGCTATAATTCGCCTACTTCTAAGTACCCAAGAACGGGTACTTAAACCTTAAACACTCAACCCTAAACCCTAAGCCTTACACCCCAGGGATGAGCCTGCAGATCAACAGTCTGATTTACTGGCTAATTTTGAGTTTGGGGTTTGAGGTTTGGGTTTAGGGTTTAGGGTGTGGGGTTCAGGGTTCAGGGTCTAGGGTTAGGGTGTGGGGTTTAGGGTTTGGGTTCAGGGTTTGGGCATGAGGGTCCAAGGTTGTGTGGCCTAAACCTTGAACGGAAAGGTAGGTTTTGCAGCCCTTCCCAAAGGCGCTCGGGCAGCAAGCACAGCAGCAGGCTGGGACGGGGGCCAGGGGTTTAGGGTTTAGGGTTTAGGGTTTAGGGTTTAGGGTTTAGGGTTTAGGGTTTAGGGTTTAGGGCTTAGGGCTTAGGGTTTAGGGTTTAGGGCTTAAGGTTTTAGGGTTTAAGGTTTTAGGGTTTAGAGTTTTAGGGTTTAGGGTTTAGGGGTGGGCAAGTGGGGCGAGCGGGGCAAGGGGAAAACATCAGTGCGTGGTGCCGGTCTCCACAAGCACGGTGCCTTCATATCTCCCGAGAGAGCCCTTCGGGGGAGTACTTCCCCTAAACCGAAACCCTAAACCCTAAACCCTGCCGCCTGCCTTAATTCCTTGTTAAGAGCCAGGAAGTGTGGAGGTTAAGTGGGTTTCATTAGGGTTCAAGCGGGTGTTCACTTCCGTCTTTCAACAGCAGTTTAGCCGGGCTAAGCCTGAAGACTAAACCGCAGGCCCCCCACCGTAAATCCCAACCCCCAACCCCCAACCCCCAAACCCCAAACCCTAAACCCTAAACCCTGAACCCTAAACCCTAAACCCTGAACCCTGAACCCTGAACCCTGAACCCTGAACCCTTAACCCTAAGCCACAGCCATTGCTGGAGGCGCTCGGGCAGCAAGCGCAGCAGCAGGCTGTGAACGGTCTCAGACTTGTATATCATGTATTACAAACGATATTAGGATATATATATATATATACATACATTATATATATATATATATACATACTATGTATATATCTATACACGTCACATACATGTATATAGTATATTGCATATATTGTATATCATTTGAATAGCAGAGATGAAGGCGGCCTTAAGCCCTACACCCTAAACCTGTAGGGCGTAGGGGGTTTCGTGCTTCAAAGGGAGTCATGCCCTAAATCCTTGTTCAGGAGGGAAGTGAAGGGATTTAAAGTCTTACAGTGGTTGCCCTTGTTCCTTGAGCATCCTGCTGCGTCCAGCCACAACCCTAAACCCCAAACCCCAAACCCCAAACCCCAAACCCCAAACCCCAAACCCCAAACCCCAAACCCCAAACCCCAAACCCCAAACCCCAAACCCCAAACCCCAAACCCACACCCCAAACCCTAAACCCTAAACCCTAAACCCTAAACCCTAAACCCTCCATGTAGGGTTTGACAAAACAACATGTGCCTCGTGTTTAAGGGCCCTTGGCCTTTCCGGGGGAGAAGAACTTGGAACCCTAAACTGCCTCAAAATGGAGCGCCCACAGTTTGGAGGGACGTTTACGTCGACAACACCATAGAATAATGCTTCAGCCTTAAGCCCCTAAATCCCCAGCAGCGCTCAAAAACCCTAAACCCTAAACCCTCAACGCCAATTCGCACTGTAAGAGGCCGTCCCGGTGGTCCAGGGCATCCCGGTTTCCGAGAAAGCCTGAACAGGCTCCACCCTGGGCACAGAGAAGGGGTTTAGGGTTTAGGGTTTAAATTTTAGGGTTTAGGGTTTAGGGCCTGAACCTGAACCTGAAAAGGGTTTAGGGCCTGAACCCTGAAGCCTAAACCCCAAACCACAAATGGCCTGAATCTTGGGAAGGAGGGGTTTGAGGATATCAGGGTTGAGGTTGGGCCCTGAAGTCTCAAGACTCCTTCTGAGCATACCCTCCTCCCTCTAGGACCCTAAACCCTAAACCCTAAACCCCAAACCCCAAACCCCAAACCCCAAACCCCAAACCCCAACCCCCAAACCCCAAACCCCTCCTCCCTCCGGGTCGTCCTCCTGCAGCCTGGGTCCACAAATTCTCCGGGGGTCACTCGCGTCGCTTCCGCGGCCTTGGGGCTGACGTTCCAGGGTCAGTACGCCGACGAAGCTTGTCTCAAAAAATCGATCTGCCACGGCGCGCGCGGAGCCTGAAGTGTACCAGCTCATGGCCTAGTTCACAGTCGAGTCCTCCACTTGAAAACGCTGGCGACGCTGCGCTTCGTGAGTTTAGGGTTTCGGGTCGGGGGTTTAGGGCTTAGGGTAATTGGGGGTACTTCTCAGATTCACGTGAAGCTTGTCATATGATGTTGTTTTCAGCGTTGTCATCGCCATCATCGGGTCCTGTTCCTGATCCGTTGGAAAAGTGTTGCAGATGTGTGTCTTGGTCTAGACTTTGTCAGCGTGCCATGGAACGCTACGAATCTCATTTTTTAATTCACCCTAGGCTGGGCTCTTTGGATAGGTTTGGAGGGCCCGAAACGCTAAACCCTAAACCTAAACCCTAACGGACTGTCTGGGTCTTGAGTTTAGGGGTTGGGGCTTTCGAGGGCTGTTGTGTGGAAGAATGCAGGGCGTCCGTTACATCGGACCGCTTAAATTTCGGCGGTTTAGGGTTTACCCCTACAGCCCTTACATAGCCTGCGGCCCTTGTGGATGTCGGACGTAAGCGTGAACTTGGTTACGGTTTAGGTTTTCTTCAGGTCAAAAAACCCAAACCCAAAACCCAAGTTTAGGGGGCGGGCATAGGATGGCCCAGGGGTGTGGAGCCGACTCTTTAGGGCTTGGTTTGGCTTCTTTCTCGCCCTTCAAAGAGCAAAGGCCCCCCCCCCCTCCTCCCCTTCTTGTTTGCCAGCTCTCCAGAGGTAGAAGAGGTACAAGGGTTCGCATTAGGGGTTTAGGGCTTCGGGGGTTTTAGGCTTTAGTATCCCCTAAACCCCAAACCCCAAACCCGAAACCCTAAACCCCAAACCCCAAACCCTATGTAAACCTTAAACCCCAAACCCCAAACCCCAATCCCTAAACCCTAAGTTGCTGCATCCTCTTGGTTCCTGCCATAGGCCCCGCCGTGACCTGAGCGGCACGAAATTCATCTTTTGATGGCAGCTGCTGCGGACGGAGTGCGCAAGGCAACACGCAGGCCTAGCTTAAATCATCTTCACCTAGGACCCGGAGTAAGCCCTCATTTGCTTGTTTTAGGGTTGGGGTTCTTTTATAATCCCCTGAAAGCCAAAAAAGGGTGCCCCTTCTAGGTTACTCCTGGGTCTAGTAAAGCCGCAGACACCTGGACCCCTACGCCTCTGAACCCCGGAGAGACCCGAAACCTAGTGTGGATGACACCTCCGGACCCTAAACCCTAAACCCGAAACCCTAAACCCCTAAACCCCAAAACCCCTAAACCCTAAACACCGTCCGACTGCCTGAGAGTATGCCATCGCGCCCTTCCCCGCGTGCATGTACAGACCGCTGCAACGTACCAAGCCAGGGATTAGGGTTTTCTAGACCGTACTTTAGGGGTTTAGGCTTTAGGGTTCAGGATTGAGGGTAAGTTCTTTCAAGCAGTGTATACGGGGGGCCAGAATGGTTACACATTTAGGGTTTTCAAGAAGAGTTCAGGTTTGGGGTGCGGTGTAGGGCTGAAGGTTTAAAGGGCGTTCTACCCCCGTGCAAACAACCGAAGCCATTCCTAAGCCCTAAGCCTTGTAAGGGTTCTGTGGATCCTATGAAGAGCGCCCACCTTCCTTTCAACCCCGAAATTGCAGACCAACACTCCAAGTGCCACAAATCCGTCGGGCCAAAGCAAGACTCACCAAGCACCCTGCCAAGACCCTCAATACCAGCATCCTTATCTTAGTGGCTGAATTCATTAGGGGGGAACGATATTGCCCTTGAGGCGTTAAACCTTGTGACCTGGGAAGAATGTTCTCCCTCCTGGGTGTAGGGAAACTGAAAAGTCTGAAGACCAGCAAAAAATCCTAAACCCTGAGGGCTGCCAGCACAAGTCTCGAGCATCACGCCCGCCTGCTTCCCCTTAAAGACTCAAGGCGTTCTGCCTTGAATTCCGGAGCACCGTCCGGCTCGGCAACCGAGCCCTTCACCGTATGAGCCATAGAGGGGTTGAAGGGCTTGTTTACGGCTTTAGAGGGTTTGTTCGGGGTTTTGGGTTTTAGGGTTGCGGGCCCTAACCCTCGACCCCAGTAGCCCTAAACCCCGAAAACCCTTTCCCGCCTCCGCCGTAGGAGGCGGCCCTTGGAACCAGGTCACACGTGCAAGGCGTCGCAGCTCCTTTTCAGTGCTAAGCCCTAAACCTTATAACCCTAAACCCTAAACCCTAAGCCCTAAGCCCTAAGCCCTAAGCCCTAAGCCCTAAACCGTACACTGCCTGAAAAGTCTTGCCGATCCGGAGATTGCTGTGGACCTCGCGGATGGCGGGGCACCAGAGTAGGATCGCGATCTACAGCGCGAGCTCTGCAAAAAGCTTGCAAGGTCTGGTTCAGGGCCCCAAGCCCTAAGCCCTAAGCCCTAAGCCCTAAACCCTAAACCCCAAACCCTAAACCCTAGGGTTCAGGATTGAGGGCTTTACGGCTCCAAGGTTCAGGGACCTTTGTTTGTGACACTTCCGAAGTCCTAAACCCGCAAGGCCCCACCTGAACCCCCGGCCCATCTACTCTAGATTGGGTTTAGGGTTTAGGGTTTAGGGTTTAGGGTTTAGGGTTTAGGGTTTAGGGTTTAGGGTTTAGGGTTTAGGGTTTAGGGTTTAGGGTTTAGGGTTTAGGGTTTAGGGTTAAGCGTAAAGCTTGAATTTTCCACAAGGGAGAAGCTCCTAAACCCTAAAGCCGAAGCCCCAAACAAAGGGGGCTCAAGGGGGGTTGACGGTTATTTTTCAAGGGTCTTCCTGATGAAACCCCGAACCTGCTCTTTGCAAGATGTTGTGGCGCCCCCCCCCCCCCTAACAAAAACCAAAAAAATCAACCTAAACACTAAACCCTAAACCCTAAACCCCAAACCTAAAAACCAACAAAACTTCAGAAGCCCAGGCTTCGGAGTCTCAAGCCCCAGCCTTTGGGTTGGGTTTGGGAGTGGAGGGAAACCCTCCACCCTTCAGACCCCGCTCCTCTGTCCCTAAGCAGCGACCCTATATGCACCCTAAACCCTCAACCCTTTTTCCCTTTCTTGCGCCTAAACCCCTAAACCCTAAATCCTAAACCCTAAACCCTAAACCCTAATTTCCCACCCTAAACCCTAAACTGCTGGCTCGAAGTGTCTGTCTCACCTCCCTATGTGGAGAACTTTAGGTGCCCATTGCCTTTGTTACACCAGGGTTTAGGGTTCAGGGTTGAGAAGGCACTATGGAATGGTTGAGAAGCTTTAGGGATTCTAGGCAAATTCTAGGGTTTTTAAACGTTAAAATTTAGGGTTCTTTAACGTTCAGAAGCCCTAAATGTAGGTCCTAAGATGCAGGGGCGAGGGTTCGGTTTGCTCCAGACTTCTGAGCCACCTGCCCTTAGGGCTCTCCGCGGAGCCATGAGCGTTGCCCGGGACCCGGGTCTGAAGCCCTAAGACGCACTATGTGCTTAAGAACTCCCAAAACGTGTGAAAAAAACTCCCTATATTGCTTTGTGAGGAAGAATGTTTGGTATATTATTATTACATACTATTGTTGTTCTTTTAGGTTTTTTTATTTTGGGGGGGGGGGGGGGGGGGGGGGGGGGGGGGGGAGGGAGGAGTTTCTGCAAGGCCCTCAACCAAGGGTTTGGGATCTAGGCGCCCTACACGTCTCATTCGAGCTACAATGTTTTTATTCGAGCTACAATGTTCGTTTATTTTTAGAGAACGCACACATATCGTCATCTTGATTCTAGATCTGGGGGGGGGGGTTGCAGGACAAACGCCCACGCGCAAAACCCTAGCGCCGCCTTCTCAGCAACCCTAAAGCCATTCCTTAAACGACCAAAACAACAAGGACTAAATACTATACCACTCCCAACAAGGCACGGACAGAAAGCCCCCGAATCTAAACACTAAACCTTACATTCTGTAGACCTTAAAGCCCATTAAGACCGGAAATCCCATTCAGACCTTAAAGTAAGACCCGAAAGCCCATTCAGACCTTAAAGCCTAGGAAGACCCTCTATGAACTCTGAAGCCTCAGCCAAATATGAGCCCAATACCCTGAACCCTAAACCCTAAGTCCTAAACTCCAAACCCTAAACCCCAAACCCCAAACCCCAAAACCCCTAACCCCAAACCCTAAGCCCCCAGTGTCGATCAACTCCCAGGTGGAGGGCCGCGACCTGTCCACTGGAGCCCCCGGGGAGGAGCCACGTCCGCCGGGAGTTCTTCTCTCTGGTTTAGGGTTTAGGGTTTAGGATTTAGGGTTTAGGGTTTAGGGTTTAGGGTTTAGGGTTTAGGGTTTAGGTTTTAGGGTTTAGGGTTTAGGGTTTAGGGTTTAGGGTTGTTTTTTGCATGTGTGTGTGTTGAGGGTTTAGGAAGGTTTGGGCCTGTCTGCTTTTGCTTTGCTTTGTGTTTTGTGTGTGTGTGTGTGTGCCAATCCGCAAGCTGCGCGAGTAGACCCGTATTCGGACGGTGTGTGTGTGTGTGTGTGTGTGTGTGTGTGTGTTTTTGCTTGTTCTTTGTGCGTGTGTGTTTGTTTGTGTGTGTGTGTGCGCGTTTGTGTTGATG